ACATCCTGACCATCCTGGGATCTGAACGGTGAAGAGACGCATAGAACATGGCGTGCAGAGTCGGCGACGTTCGGTATGCCGATGTCGCATACGAGGATGTGCAAGCGGACCGACGCTGAAAGGGTCTGATACCGGGTTGTTCGTGTCTGGCTGAGGGATTTGTCAAAGATCATCCATTCTGAAGGCATCGGGGTCCGATAGGCAAGGGAAGCATGAGAGGCCAGACCAGATGAATCTGGCGAGAAGCGGGCCGATATACCCACTGTGTGGGGAGTACGCCAGCCCTGGAGCATCTTCGAATCTGAAGACGTACGTTCGGCCAAGTTTAGGCCGTTGACGTGATCAGGATCGACATGTCCAAACTGGCAGGAGATGGCTGGAAGAGTTTGACCCCGAGGCTTGCCTAAATCCATGTCGAAGCCCCGATGCGTGCGCACTTTCGCGTTCGCTTTGCCGCTGTGCCGTGGTGTTTGTCACTCCGCGAAGCACCAGGGATAAAGCCAGTATAACGCTAATGGACGGCAGGCTAACCCCTGATTTATCCCCACCATCAAATGTAAAAGCCATGAATCTCAGTAGATAGGGTGTCGTTCCGACAAGCACGGGCGACTCTTGATTGATTAGTGTGCGACCGTATTAAGACTACTGCGGTGAGTTTTATCAATACCCATTGTTATGGTCATCAACATCATGTCTTTGCCATGGTGGTCTCATCCGCTGGCAGATCCTTCCATCAGAATGATGCCTGATGTCGTCTTGGGCGCGATGTGACCGGTGAGTAGTTCTGCAAGACTAGAAGCCGGCGGGAAAAGCATGGGAGCAAGGCGCATCGGCACTTGCAGAGTAGACCGATCAGACAAAATGGAAATGGGTCGAAACGATCCGCTACCATGACGTGCAGTATTTGACCGGTGCGGGAAGATCGCTTGGTGGACGAAAGACCTGGGGTAAAGGCCTAGAGCTGACTGCAGTAGTTGCTTCTTGCGGCCTTCTCCGTAAGAAGTCTGTCGGCAACCGCGGAGGCGAGGTATATTCGGACTGCAGGATGCACTCGGAGTATGTTGAGGTGTGTCCGCAGTCAACCCCAGCGTGAAAGTTTCGACAGCCAGCATACGAGAGGACCTATCGTAGCCCTCGTTAAGATGCCAGATCCGTATGGCCAGATTGCAATTCGCGCAGGCCTAATAAGTATGGAGGGTATGATGTGTGCAAGACCTGCAGGTTTTCTCGTCATTGGCTCTTGATGGAGCCACTGTATACGATGAGCCTGAGCGTAGAGTCAATGGATTCACTCTCGCAGCTCTGCGTCCGCTTCTTGTCATTGGTTCTTGATAGAGTCACTGAAATCGCCGGGCCTGAGCGTAAAGAGAATGGCTTTGTCTTCGCACCTCAGTGTTCACTGAGATCGACCAGCAAGACGACGATCTTCGCAACAAAGTCTTCGTGTTGTCTAGATCGTCAGTAGTATCTTCATCACCCTCATTCTTGCCTCCCCCATTGCCATACCAAAGTACCATCTCAATAACCTGCCCGAAGGACCAGACCGCAGTTTGAGTCGAAGGCGCACTTTATGCATTCTCCCGTTGTCAACCATCGGACGAGTGCGTGATGTCTGCTGTACCGTCTCCCTTCTCGTGACTACGATGATTAATGCGACTGGACCCATTGGACAAAAGAGGCTACTACTGTACCTACAGGATCCCCTCCACATCCTTCACCCCTACCACCAGCGATAAAATGCGCGTCTCGCGGTGCTTCGTTTGGAAAAATGTCTCGTCAACCTGAACGTGCGGTGAGAATCTGCCGGGCCGGGGTCGACGGCATTCGCGAAACTGATCGGTGAACCCATTCCACACATTCCACACAACAGTGCACATAATGTGTAGAGAGCGAGACTTCCACCACCGCCCCTCCGCCTCCCCCACCCACCCATAAACGGCATTCGTGAGACTGATCGGTGAAGAACCAGCAAGCTAATCTAGCGTATTTTTATGTATACAAAACGTTGCGATGTGGCGTAAGTCGACAGTCGTTGGTGTCGTAAGTGTACATGAAGGCGCACAAACAAAGCAAGTGTGGGCGTTGTGTTGAGGAGACGAGAAGAGATGTGATCGTCGATGGATTAGAGGCCCCCAGCATGCGCGATCGTGGAGTGAGTGACATTGTGTGGAAGGCGCGCTACGCAGACTCAAATTTGCAGTCACGAAAGGAAGGAGCAAAACCGCGAGATACTCTATCACACACAAGAAATCCACGAATGACAAACACCAATTATGACCACCGGGGTGATATTAGAATGTTAATTACTACTTCCTACATGAAGGACCAAAAGGCGGGGGAATAAGTATCGAAAAAGCTAAGAAAACATACGAGAAGCAGTGTCATGTCGAGGACAGTGTAACCACAGACGTGATCCAAGGGAGCTATCACTGTCGGCTAAAAGATGGAAAGGCCCCCAAATAAGAAGAAATGAAGCCCGGCATCCGACCATGTCCCTTCCGTGTCGGCATTGCACAAGCCACCTATTACAAACGCCCGCAGCTGTGATGATCAATACACCTTTTGACGACTCGATGGTTTCCCGTGGCAAGCGCGCTACCCGTGCTTGACCAAGACCGCAGGAGATGCAACAGCCGGATCCTGAAAGCGAGGTGTGTTGGCGTCATCTAAGCCTCGTCTGCGTCGTGGTCTTGCAGTTGGCCGCTCTGTTCCCTGTTCATGCGGGCCTCGATCTCCTTCAGCTGGCTCTCGCGGGCCAGGAGTTCCTGCCGCTTCTCGTTGATCTCGCGCTGGACCTTGACTTCGATCTCGCGCAACTTCTCCTCTTCGCGTCGCAGTTGCTCCTCCTTCAAGCGCACTGACTGGCTGGCAAGATCCTCGGGGTTCATCGACGAGTCACTGTGGGATGTTAGTACTGATATTGTAGTAGAGCGGGGACAAAACTTACGCAGCAGCACCACCTTCGACACTCTTACTAAGCTTCTCGGTACGGTAGTTCTCGTATAGGAAGTCATGCGTAATCTCCTTGAGATCGGCAAGATGGCTGTGGAGGAGGGCGCTTCGCACGGCCAGGAAGTCGGAGTGGCGGGGGTTGTCGACCTCGACGATACCCCAGGGGTATTGGCGTGCCCGTACCCGTCGGCCGTTGATCTCAACAATGTCCTCGGATCCAACGATAGCGAAGGGCATCAGGCCGCGGAGCTCGGCGTTCTCCTCGACGGTGTCCTCGTCGTCCTCCTCGATGTCGTAGGGGAAGTTGTACACGGGGATGCGGTAGTGCTCAATGTCCTCCATGACCAGCTTCTTCGACTCGGCGAGCTCGGCGGGTGTGAGGGAGTCAGCCTTTCCGATGACGGGGATGACGTTGCAGCGGGGTGAGAGGCGCTTCATAAGCTCAATGTCGAGTTCACGGAGACTGTGGTGTGTTAGCTGGAGCTGGCAGAGGGGCTCGGCATACATACCCGTGACCGGTGGGTGTGATGAAGTAGAGCAGGACATGTACACGGTCGTCGCGGAATCGGGGGTTACGCTTAATACGCGATTCCTCTGCGAGAATGCCGTCGTACTGTCGCTCGAGGTAGCCGACGATCTCTGAGAAGCTGCGGAGGGTAAGCGTGGGCTGTGGTACGTCCTGGAAGATGCCTACCTGGCCTCGTTGTCGATCTGGTCTCCGAATCCGGGTGTGTCAACAATGGTGAGCGAGATGCGGGTGCCCTCCTCGTCGAGTTCTAATGTGTGTTAGCAGCCGCACGCGATGGTGATAGCCATTGACCCTTATCGGGGCGACGTACCGACTGTGATGGGCTTGATCTTGACGCCCTCCTCGACGTGTGCCGTTGTTGGGTCGTCGACCTCCTTGTGTCCGAGCACCTGCTTGCCGCAGAGGGTGTTGACAAAGGTCGTCCGGCCAGTACCAGAGGCACCACAGACCATCAGACAGAACTGGATACCCTTCTTGACATTCTTCTTTCTGCGCGTCTTGTTAAGCGCCTGAGACATTGTTAGCGGGTGAGGTCAATGGCAGGTGGTGTGGTGGTGGGTAGGGCGGCATCGTGGCCTGAGGGAGACGTGGTGTTGGGGAGCGTCGTACCGAAGACATGATGAACTCGGGGGCGGTGAATGTGATGGGTGTGGTGGATGGGCGGCGTGCACACGCAATGGAGACAATCTAGCGATGAGGCGAGACTGCTTGGGGGTGAGACGGGGGCGTATGTCTGAGGTGTGGTGTTGGAGCGGTGTCGTCGTGGAAATTTGGGGACGTTGGCAGCTACTCCCTGCGCGATGCAAAGGGGCTCGCTAGCGGGAAACACCCCGGTCGCAGTCTCCTTCTTGGCGCGACCACCTGGCGCGTCTGATTTCGGCAAGATGTACAACACGAGTGATTGCAATTGATATTGATCACGAATTGTATTGCAAGTGTGTCTAGTTGGCAAGCGGAACGCGTTGATGCTTTTCAAATGACTGCGCGCTGTTCTGCTTGATAGCAGTACTCAGCGGGGTACTTTATCAGGGTCTCTCGAAGCTTAACATCACAACTTGAAAGGGTAAATTGGAAAATCCCGTCTCTCACGTGCGGCTCTGCGCGGGAGGTGGTAGTAATTCTCCGGTTACATCAATGGGACTGATGGTGCCCAAAGGCATCGTTGCTCATCCATCAGGTCCTCAAGTCGCGCTTGCTCCAAGCGGCTAGCGCCGGGAGAGCTCAGGTGGATCCCGAGGGCGTGACCGAGCTCTTGGAGGAGCCGTGGACCCTCGATATCGCTATCGACCAAACCTCTCGTCGCTATTCACTCTCGCCTGTCTAAGTCGCTGCTGAGAAAATGGGTCTAGCATACTCTTGGACTCTGCGATAACGCTTTCGGCGCCGTTTGCTGGCCACTTTACGTTCGAAGTATCTCAGCACAGCGCTCCACCCACCTCCGCACTGCACTCAAGACGCCCCACTTGAGCAGTTGAAACGACCTCCCGTACAAACATCTCCTCTATTCGCTGCACCCAGCATGAACACCCGGCCCATTCTAGACTCGGATGCCGGACCCTTTGTGCTCTCGGCATCCTTCAACGCCGACTGTTCGCACTTCTCGGTAGCCATGGAGAACGGATTTCGCGGTATGACGCGCGCATGCACCTTGAAGGCCCTTGCTAACACCTCCAGTATTCTCGTCTTCAACATGCGAAGAGAAGATTTCCAGAGGTAGCTCCCTATCTTAAACACCGACCACATCCCACTAACACATTTGCAGAAGTCGGCGGCGGCATCGGCTGCGCAGAGATGCTCGGCAACAAGAGTTACATCGCCCTGGTCGGAGGAGGGAAGCAGCCCAAGTACCCCCAGAACAAGGTACCTCCTGAGGAACCCGACTGGAGCGTCAACGACACTGACATCATCTACGAGGTCCAAATCTGGAACGACAAAACCGAGCGCTTCACCACGTCGACCGAGTTCAAGACGCCCGTCCAGCGCGTGCGCCTGTCGCAGTCACACATGATCGTGGCGCTGCTCAACTCGATATGCATATACAAGATGAAGGTGCCGCCAGTCAAGTCGGCGGAGTACGAAACAGTCAATAACCCGTTTGGGCTGTGTGAGCTGGGCACGAGTATTGTCGCATTCCCGGGAAGGGTGGCGGGTCAGGTCAAGATATATGATCTCAACACGGGCAATGTGAGTATCATACCCGCTCACGAAAACCCGCTGCGCGCAATCGGCATAAGCAGGAACGGCGACCTCATCGCAACAGCCAGCGAGAAGGGCACTGTCATCCGGCTATGGTCCTTCCCCTCCTGCACGAAACTAGCAGAGCTCCGCCGTGGCGTCGACCCCGCTGCCGTCTTCTCTCTCGCCTTCTCCCCCGACGGCTCGACCCTCGCCGTGACATCCGATAAATCCAGCCTCCACATCTACGACCTCGTAACCGCAACAAGTGCCTCACAAGCCGATCCGTCACAGCACAAGTATGGTATCTTGTCCAAGATCCCTGGTCTGCCCCGCGCGTTCTCTGATATATATCCTACGGCTACGGCCAAGTTCGAGATGGGCGACGAACCTACCACTTGGGGTCCACACGGTAGGTCCGCTACTCTGAGTGCAGGTATTCCGGGTGTGCCGGGTGGTCGGCCGACCAAGGGCCTCATCGGATGGCTCGACGACGAGACTATCCTTGTGCTCGGCGCTGGGTATGATGCGCGATGGGAGCGGTTCCGCACGGGCCGGGATGATAGTGGGAAGAAGTGTCTTTATCCTGATGGATGGAGGCGCTATATTATTTAGAGGTTTATGTGGCCGATCCCGAGAGACGGAGTTATTGCTAGAGGGTCTTGGTTCTTCTTGACCGTGGATGACATTTATGCACGGATATGGCGTTTCGAGACTTGGATATAACAAGGCGTTGGTTGCATCTCCTTGGACAGGCGTTTAGATACCCAATCTTGTTCTCTTACTATAACCTTCGTCTTGCGATATTTAAGTCGTGTACTAAGACTTATGTTTCGTGATCTAAACCTCATTATCCAATTATTATTTCAAACCTTGCACTGTCAACATCTTTGCGAGTCTTCCACGATGGAGAAAGCAAGAGTCCTCCCCGGGGAACATACATTTGCTAGGCTTCTTTACACACACACACGGGTCATAGATTCACGCAGAAACTAAACCACGTACTTTTTGATAAATTCAGTCGAGTTTGCATTCTTTACTTCTCTCTGTCTCTCTCTCTTGTTGCTTCTATACAATCTTCTCCTCCATACAGCCGCTAACTATAAACATGTTGGCCTGTTATTTAATTCGCGCTGATGTCCACCCCTCTCAATTTCTCGATTTCATGAGGGACAACCCCCCACAAGACACCGCTCCCATGCCGAAAAACACCCATCGCTCAGCTTGAGCGCTAGAAGCTGGAAAAGTCAAAACACAGGCTGGGTACATAGAATACATGACAAGAAGGGCTAGGAAAGAAGGGTAAGTTGTAAGTGTGAAGGTAAAACAGCACAATGGCTTCAAAAGAGTAAAACGAACAAAAGATTTAGAATTACTCTGATTGATGTAGAAGCGAACTGAGAAACAAAAGACAAAAACGGGAAACTTTGGGTATCGTGCAGAAAGGTATGGTAGCCACAGTTATAACACCCATGTGCGCAACTTTCTGTGTTGCACGGTGTCAAATATCCAATCAGCCCTAGAAACACCCACATAAATTCCCCTTATCCAGCTCCGCGTTGGCTGTCGAAGCGGACATCCTTCGGTAGATGTAGCTGTGCACATGGAAGTGTAGAGGAGTTAGAAAGTTGACGAGGCAAGGAAACATTCGTGGCAGGGTCATAAAGAAGGGTTTCGAGAGAACCAGTCTCTCCGCGCCCTTTCTCTTCTTCTTCTCTTATAACAAGATGAGATAGTTGCTGGGCGCGATACCCGTCTCGCCATTTGGTTTCTTGGCCTGCCACCACCGTCCGCTGACGTCCGAGACTTCGAGGATGTCGTGTTTTTGGAAGCTGATCTCATTCGCGTCATCCGGGTTGGCTTCGTAGCTGTAGATGGCCTTGGCGCGGTACGGGTACTCGATAGAAGCTTCTTGCTGGTTGTTTGCGTCGTCGTTTGTGGGTGTCGACACGTTGTTGTTCATGCCGCCGAACTGGGGGGCTGAGCTGTTGCGGCCGTTTGCGCCGACGGGACCGCCGGGGTAGCCGGAGACGGGCGACGAGGTTTCGAAACCGTTTAGTTGGGCGGATGTGTACATTTGCGGCGGGATGTTGGCGGTTTGGGTTTCGGGCCGGTTGGTGTAACCGTTGGAGATGGGGCGGGAGGAGCGCGAGCCGGGGTGCTCCTTGTGCAGGGCGTAGGAGTCGACGAAGGCGCGGTGGCTGGCTTGTGGTTGCGAGCCGTAGTAGAAGATCCAGACGATCTGGGCATGTTAGTTGGGACTGGTGCGTGGTGTGCTGGCGTGACTTACGGCGATCATGGAGAGGAGGATGTAGCCGGCAGCCGCGGCTTCAAAGGGAGCGACGGGCGAGTAGACGAGCGAGTTGACGGATGAGGTGGTGAAGACCAGGCCCGCGGCAAGGAAGCCCACGATCTGCTGGAATTAGCAAGTGCGTTCTCGTGGTATGCCGTGACGGCTACTTACTGCGACATGGTACGTCCTCTCCGCATCCGAGGCGACTGTAACGGTGACGCCCGCAATGCAGAAGAACATGAAGACGAGCGTCCACCAGGCGAAGTTGGGGAAGCCGCCGTGGATGGCTGATATTATGGAGCTGACAAAGGCGATGACCCAGGCGAGCTGTATACTACGTTAGCGACCAAATCCCGCGACTGCCGCGTACTCCGGGCTACTCACAATGCCAATCGATATCGTGGCGAGCGCAAAGGGATCCCCAATGATGCGGCTCATGCTGAAGCCCTGGGACCTCTGGCTGTAGCCTCCGTTTTCCATTTTGCGTAGTGAAGGAGAGCCGCCCAGCGAGCCGTAAGCGGGCATGTGTTGGTGGAAGCGGCGGGGAAAGGGGCGATTAAGCTATGCTGTCGCGGGCGCAGGAAGAGCAGGAAGAGCGGGAAAGAGCGTGGGTGCCAGATGCGGTATTATGGGTGAATGTCGAGAGTCAAAGAGAGTGAGTGATGTTGGTGGGTGTGGGCGGTTGGGCCAGTATATCGGCGCGTTGGTGGAGTTGTGCAGGGCAGCGAACGGTGCACAGGGCGCAAGCAGCGGGAGGCGGGCGTCCAGTGACCAGCAGTGTTGGTGGGCGCGCAAGGCTTCTGCGACTCTGGCGGCTGCGTGAAGGTCGATTATGGCTTTGGGGTGGGTGTCGAGGGAGGGTTACGGGCGAGGGCGGGAGCAGAGCGAGAGATGCGACGGTTTCACCTTGGGTTCCCAGTAGTTCTCGATTGGCCGCGCCGGCTGGAATGGCTAAGGGTTGTTCGGGGATTGCAGCGCTGCGGGTCCCACTTGTGCAGAGATTAAAATGGCACCGCGCCCGTCAGCCAAAGGCCTGGACAGCTGCACGCGCGTTTAGTGCATTAGTGCCTTTGGTGGCCGTCGAGCCGCCGTACACAGACAAGTCTACGTTGTTTTAATGTTAACAGCGTTATGGAGGTATCTCATCCACCTGTTGCTCGACAATGTGTTCGACAATGTCAAGCTGTTCGCGGCCATTCACTCATTCACCATCCACTCTTCAATACGCCAAGCCAAGACGTGGCGCAGCTAGTACTACCTAGGTACGTCGCTCAAAGGGATCCCAATACATGGCGACGCCTCATCATGCATCCTCGACTCGTCACTCAAGAACACCCCGAGAACCCTTCCACACACAGGACATCCCCGTCCGAAATGTGGTACTTTGATTAAATCGACAATCTACACCGCTGCTGTCATACACAACTGGTCTGACAGCTGCAATTCCACTGCACAAGTCTGGCTAATCTCATGTGCACCCTGCGTCGCCCTCAAGGCATGCCATCCACGTTTCCCCATGGCCTGTCTTGATTACCCATGGTAGCCGACACGTGCGCCGCGTCCATTTGCGGCTGAAGCTGTGTCTAGGCGCAGTAGTTCCCAGGCGAGCCAGGAAATTGACGTCCGGACCAATGTCGGCGCCATTACGCTTCGGGGCCCTGGGCCAGGTCACCAAGCTGACACGAGACGGTCATGAAACGCCGTGCTACGGCACCGAACCCTCCGCAGCCCTACAAAGTTGCTGAGACCCTCACTTGACCTCACTTTACATCATTCAGCAAGAAAAAGCTGGCGCTTACAAACTCTTTTCGTGTTTGAACTATCTGCGACTGCTACCTGTGACATGGCAAAGCGTTTCCGGTCAGGGTGCAAAGGTCAATTGACGTTACTGTACTACTGTATGCATCAATTTCCCCATGGCCGTCGTCATGATCGGGAAGTTTGTTTTGCAATATGTCACTTTCGGATGCTTGCTTGATCCGAGGCAACGCGTCGCTTTTGTAACATGCGCGACTCTGGATCGCTGCAACGATGGTGACACCGCTCCACATGCTCGCTGCTGATCTGGTCCACATGCCCCGCCCAGACTGCTGAGCCTCTATCAGATGTGCAAAACTAGAATGACGGTCGCGGGTACCGGCTGTGGCTGTGACGAGCGCGCCCAAGCTACACGTGAAGCACCTGGCATCTGTCAGCCACGCCTTGAAACCGTCTGACGTCGGTATTTGCGCAACGCATAAAGTCCACGTACCGTCAACACAACGTGGTTGAGAAAATAGTAATGGACGTACGGTGTCTCAGCAGGCGATTGGTGCTTCTGCGCGGAGACTGATGGCACCGAGCGTGGCATTCTTGGTTCGGTGAACTGTTGCGTGATGCTGACAGTTCTCACAGCTCGTCCTCATCAGATTCACTCTCCTCGCCCTCTTCTTCTTCGCGTGCCACGCCTTTTTCCTCCTCGGCAGGCCTTCTCCTATATTCCTCCCGCACAAGCGTTCTCAGGGCCTTCCTAAGCCTCTCGTCGTAGTCGACCCAGCATCTTCCTGCGCCGAGGAGCATGACCTGCTGATACCGCTGATTCAGCAAGCCGTTCCTTTTCCGCAGCTCGGATATCTTGAGTGCTTGTTGTAGTTGGCGTTCTTCTGCTTCAGCAATGCGCGGTCGCAACACGGCTAGCTTGGCGAAGCCATCGGTGGTGGGTATCTGCTGGTCTTCGAGGGCTTGGAGCTGTGACGCACTTGTCGCGAAGCTTGTTGCACGTTCGGTCACCAACACAGCTTTCTGGGCGTTGTCAAGTGGGGGACCGTCATCGCTGTCGTCGTGTTGTGTCTTGAGGACGTCTTTGTGCTTGCTCACTGGTGACGTTAGCCTTGGAAAATGAAGGAGATAAGGGCTGCGTACGTAAGTTGTTGGCCTCATCAAGTAGCGCAGTCTTGCCGGCCAGCTGCTGCAGTGACTGCTCGATCCTGTGTATGCGATCCGGGATGGTCTTTTGCTTGTCCTTGGTGTTGTCCTGCGGGCCGCCGAGGATATACTCCAGGCGATCCAACCGCGATTCCAGCAGTGAGAATGTGAACAGAACCGCCTCCTCGTACTCGTCCATGGTGGTGCTGGATTCGATGTTTATGTTCGCCCAGACGTGTCAACGCGGGCGCGTACCTCGAGCGGAGCGGATGTTAATTTTAGCGGCCGCTGATAAGCCCCCGGGTTATGGGGCCTCGAGACCAGACGTCAGCGGAGCACTCCCACCCTCGCTTTTCACTGCCAGCTTGAGCTCCCATAGCTCTGTCATCACATTCGCTAGCCTGTGCTCGTCGTCGCAATATAGATAGCACCACCGCCAACCCGCAACGGATGAACGCGCAATAACACGAACCGCGCATTTCGCACCCCAGAGCATGGCTTCTTACTCCGCCATCGGCCCCGAGCCAGCAGACGCAGACCCCATGACCTCGAGCACCGGGTCGCTGAGAGGGCGACGGTACGATAGCCTCGTATATCTCTTATCGGACGAAAGCTGACCCAAGTAGGAGAGGCAGAGGGAAGCAAGACGTCGGATTCAAGGGCCAGGCGACATGGATATCCAGTGTCATCAACCTAGCCAACACCAGTACGCCCATGCCAGCTACCCCACACGACACCATGCTGACCGTCTACAGTCCTCGGTGCCGGCCTCCTCGCCATGCCCTCCGCGCTCTCCAAAATGGGCATCTTCCTCGGCATCTTCGTTATCGCATGGGCTGGCACAACCGCAGGCTTTGGCCTCTACCTCCAGACACGATGCGCGCGCTACATTGATCGCGGGCATGTATCCTTTGCGACGTTGTCTCAGATGACATACCCGAATCTGTCTATCATCTTCGACGCCGCTATCGCGGTCAAGTGCTTCGGCGTCGCCGTCAGCTATCTGATCATCATCGGAGATCTGATGCCGGGTGTGGTTCGAGGATTTGCGCCAGGCGCTGGAGACATTACCTTTCTGGTTGACAGGCAATTCTGGATCACGGCATTCATGTAGGTGCTGGTTATGAAGTTCGGAGTGGTGTGTACTAACCAATCCAGGCTCATCGTCATTCCGCTGTCCTTCCTGCGCCGTCTAGACTCGCTCAAGTACACCAGTGTAATCGCCCTCTTCTCCATCGCCTACCTCGTCATACTCGTCGTAGCCCACTTCCTCAAAGGCGACACGATAGCCGACCGCGGCAACGTCCGCGTCTTTGAATGGGCGGGCCCCGTCTCTGCACTCGCCGCCTTCCCCGTCATCGTCTTCGCCTACACATGCCACCAGAACATGTTCTCGATCCTGAACGAGATAGCCGACAACTCTCACTTCCAAACAACCACCGTCATCTTCGCTTCCATCGGAGGCGCATGCGGCCTGTACATCCTCACCGGCATCACAGGCTACCTATCCTACGGCGACAACATCCACGGCAACATCGTATCCATGTACCCCACCGCCGCCGCCAGCACCATCGGCCGCCTCGCCATCGTCATCCTCGTCATGTTCTCCTACCCCCTCCAAATCCACCCCTGCCGCGCCAGCATCGACGCATGTCTAAAGTGGCGCCCCGGCGGCCGCAAACAAAGCGAAAGCAGTCCCTCACGAAACACACTCATGAACAACACGCCCAAGCCCGGCGCGCCCAAGAGCAGCGAGATGAGCGACCTGAAATTCGCAGTCATCTCCACCGTCCTCATCATCCTCTCCTTCATCACCGCCATGACCGTTTCCAGTCTGGAGAAAGTACTGGCTTATGTCGGCAGCACGGGTTCCACGACGATTTCCTTCATTCTACCCGGTTTGTTTTATTACAAGATTTCTGACCCGGAATCTTCGCACCACCAGCGTCTTGTTAAGGATGAAGACGACGAAGATGAGTATCAGAGTGGAGAGGCGGAGGGGTATGTTACGAGCGAGGGACATCTTAATCGTGATTTCAGGAGGGGCCTACTGCGTAATTTGGCGCTTGCTTTGAGCATTTACGGTGTTGTTGTTATGGTTGTTTGTCTCATTACGAATACCTTTTTGGTTGCGGCGCATTGAAGATGTTTCGATCTTGTTGGATTTGGGGAGATGGTGTTGCATTTAGCGGGAGTTGTTTGCTTGGGGGCTTATCTATTAGACTGGATGAACAGGTTGGGATGGGATGGGATGGCCCTGGTGTTGGAGTCAAGTCGATGATGGTGTCGACGGTTTTGTTGTATTCGCACGGGTTGTACAGGTATATGTGTAGCCTTGCAGTAGTTTTGAGCGAAATAGTAATCGTACCGCTCTTTTCCAAGACGTGTTCTCCTCACGACCTGTTGTTGTGTTGATCGAGAGTTGAAGTTCACATGTTGATGTTTGTTGTATTGTTGCAAGTTGTACATTTCGGTTGTAGCCGGTCGTGGGCTAAGATAGGGAATACCAATACCGGCCCTCTGCAACGTAAGCTTCCCCATGTCATGCCTTTGCTAATCTTCTAGGGCTGATGTTCTTTTTTCCAAGGGCGAAGATCTGGTTGCTATGTCGTGCACCTTTCCTCCGCTCACTTGATCCTGAAAACCGCCTCGATTGGGTCCTTCATACGGTATGTTTTTACGCCATCGAAAAATCTTGATGTGCCCATAAATCACATAAGCTTTCTCGATTCGCCCTCTCCACGCGTCTTGCTCTCCCCTCGCACCCACCCAATCCACGCACGCTACACGCGCACCTTCGCACCTAAGTAGCAGAAGCAGTCTCCTTCGTCCCCCCCTCCATATTCTCCACCACAACCCCCGGCTTCCCTCCTGCTTCCCCTACCCCATTAATCAAACTCTTACTCGCACTCCCACTCTTCACCACCATCCCCGCAATCTTACCCACCCTATACTGCGGCTCCAGAATCCCCACCATGGACAGCAACCGCCACGCGGTATCTGAGGGCTGAGCCCCTACACCGACCCAGTACCGCGCGCGCGACAGGTCCAGTTTGATGTCTTTCCAGGGCCGGCCGTGGGTGTCGCCGGGTCGGGGGGGCTGTGGTTTCGGGTCGTAGGTGCCGAGGACTTCTAGGGGGCGGGAGTTGCGCGCTGTGCTGTTGGTGGGTGTGTTAGCGGGTGGGATTGGGGGTTGGGTGAATTGGATCGGAGTGGTCTTTGGGAAGGGGCGGCGGAGTAGGTATGTAGGTATGTGCAGGTTGCAGTATTTGCGGACTCCCGAGATGGGGATTGCTGGCTGGAATTGGGAGACGTACCGGGCGTGTGCGACGACGATGTTGTAGAAGGGGGAGTGCTTCTTGCCGAAGCGGGCGAGTCGGATTCTTAAGACCATGATGGGGTGTTGTGCGGAGAGGTGGTGCTGTTGCGACGACTGCGCGAGCGGAGCGGGCGGTTGGTTGGTGGTTTGGGTATATCTTTTTGCTCCGAGGATCTGCCGAGATGCGTGGGCACGTGCGAGGTGGTATACTTTGACTTGGAGAATAGACTGTGGAGAACACTGTTTTTGGTAGACAGATAGCATGTATTCCCCGGGCTGGTCTTTAGTTCCAGTAGAGATTCAAGTTGAAGAAGTTGTGGTGGTGTGCAACTGCTGTTGCGCTCATCATCATCCTTGAGCAGTGATGTAATGGCAACACCATGTTGTTCACGACTATATCTTGTGACTAACGTTTCCCGCTTCAACAATACGCACTATCTGTGAACTGGACACTTTACGATGGCTCTTCGAGTAAGTGGACTTCCATGACTCTTGACTTGATGATGACTACTAATCTCATTTCGCAGACTCTCTCCGCCAAAAGCGCAGCTGCGCTTGACCAAGAACTCATGTCCTCAGGCGCATTCTCCATTGACCAGTTGATGGAGCTCGCTGGTCTTTCTGTTTCACAAGCAGGTACATTGGCACTCCATCGAATCCACTCCGTCAAGCTAACGATTCAGTCTTCAAATTACAACCCCTCAGCAAAGGCAAGCGCATCCTCGTAGCATGTGGCCCTGGTAACAACGGCGGCGATGGACTAGTCGCAGCCCGTCATCTCTTTCACTACGGCTACCAACCTACGATCTACTACCCAAAGCAGAGCAAGAACGAGCTCTATCAGGTGTGTAACTGCACTACCAAGGACTCACACAAGCTTACGCTTCATAGCGCCTCAAGAAACAACTCGAAGACCTCAAAGTGCCATTCACAGAAGACTTCACATCCGCACTCAAACAAACCGACCACATCGTCGACGCAATCTTCGGCTTCAGTTTCTCCGGCGAAGTGCGCGAGCCATTCCCCAAAGTCATCGAGGCTCTAGCATCGACTTCTGTCCCTGTTCTCGCCGTCGACGCGCCTTCATCATGGGATATCGAGAACGGGCCTCAGGATTCTGGACCTGGCAAGGGCTTCATGCCACCAGCTCTCATCAGCTTGACTGCACCGAAGCCGCTGGTTAAGAAGTTCACTGGGAGGCGTTTCCTTGGTGGTAGGTTCTTGAGCCCGGAGATGGCGGATAAGTATAATCTTGATGTTCCGAAGTATGAGGGCTTGGATCAGGTGGTTGAGGTGCCGGTTGAGAGTGAGAAGCTGTAAATAGCACCCATGAACGCTTGTAGAATAGCTTTAATGATACAGTACGATGTTGTTTTGCGCATCACGATGCATGGTCAAGGTGTTCTGGTACCTGCTTGAAATGTAACTAGCGTGATTTCCCCGCAGAGCCGCGGTACGGCTAACAGCGGTCTTGAGATGTCATCCGAACCCCAGCTTCAACTGCCTTTCGGCAAACAGCGAGGCCAATTTCTTTCGAAGCGGAAGGCCGGAAACTTTTTGTGTCTCTTTTGTCTGCTTTCTTCAAGCGGTATAATCGAGCTGTAACTCACCGATACGTTTCGTATACCACTACACCCTCAATCTCGCGTCGTGACTACGCGCAAAGCAACTTCCCCCCACATACGCATAGAGCGCTATTTGGACAGTTGAGGCCATCCGAGCGAACATTTCTACGGCCAAAATGGTCCCAAGAGCGCCCTCAAGAGAGGCTCTGACCCTGCTTAAGCATTCTGTACGACCCTCAGTAGTTGTTCGATCGCAAACACAACGCTGCCTCCTCTCGTCTACATCGCGCCCGACGCTACCATCGCACACCCAATCGCGAGCCACAACCCAAACTGTTCGAAACACGGCAACCTTTACGCACTCCCACCATGCCGAAGCCGTGTCTGTGATCCCAACGACCGTCGATACAAGCAATGCGGACTTCAAAGAGAACAAGCGCCAGATGGACGAGGCAACCGAGAACCTTGTCAACCTGCACACAAAGATCGCGCAAGGTGGACCGCAGAAAGCTCGGGATAAGCACATACAGCGAGGAAAGATGCTGGTCAGGGACAGAATATCTGCACTCATAGACCCGGGCACGCCGTTCCTCGAACTGAGCCAGATGGCAGGTTACAACATGTACGGAGAGGACGATGTGCCTGCAGGCGGTATCGTTACAGGCATTGGCACAGTCAACGGTGTGCAATGTATGGTTGTCGCCAATGACGCTACAGTCAAGGGAGGCACATACTACCCCGTCACCGTGAAGAAGCACCTGCGAGCCCAGACGATCGCTCAAGAGAACCGGTTACCCTGCATCTACCTCGTCGACTCTGGGGGTGCGAACCTGCCCAACCAAGCAGATGTTTTCCCAGATGTCAACCACTTTGGCCGCATCTTCTACAACCAAGCGCGCATGTCGGGCATGGGCATCCCGCAGATTAGTGTTGTCATGGGACCATGTACGGCAGGTGGTGCTTATGTGCCTAGCATGAGCGACGAGAACATCATCGTCGAGAATCAGGGTCATATTTTCCTTGCTGGCCCACCGCTCGTCAAGGCAGCGACTGGCGAGGTCGTCTCAGCAGAAGACCTTGGTGGAGGCAAGCTTCACAGCGAGGTCTCTGGCGTTACAGACTATCTCGCAGTTGACGATGCACACGCACTCGTACTTGCGCGGAGGAGCGTCGGCAACTTGAACTGGCACCGTAACCAGACTGTTACTTCGCAGCCTACTTTCCAGGAGCCTCTCTACGACCCCCAGGAGCTTTCAGGCATCGTCGGCACCAATCTGCGCCGTCAAATCCCCATCCACGAGATCATTGCACGTATCGTCGATGGATCTTCTTTCGACGAATTCAAGCCATTGTACGGTTCTACTCTGGTGACGGGTTTCGCGAAGATATACGGTCACCCCGTGGGTATTGTGGCCAACAACGGCATTCTCTTCAGCGAGAGCTCGCTCAAGGGCGCGCACTTTGTTCAGCTGTGCGGAAAGCGACACATCCCCCTCATCTTCCTCCAAAACATCTCGGGATTCATGGTCGGCCAGGACGCCGAAAAGGGCGGCATTGCGAAGAACGGCGCAAAGCTCGTGACAGCCGTGAGCTGTGTCGACGTACCCAAATTCACAGTCGTCGTTGGATCTAGTGCTGGCGCTGGAAACTACGGCATGTGGTAAGTCTCCTTCTAGTCCCACCTCGACACAACATCGCTAACACAAGCACAGCGGCCGCGCGTACTCCCCCCGACTTATGTTCACCTGGCCCAACGCAAAGACGTCGGTCATGGGCGCAGAACAGCTCTCGTCCGTCATGGAAGCCGTAGGCAAGAAAGTGGATCCCGCGCTAAAGGCACGGATCGAGCACGAGAGTGAGGCCACCTTCGGGTCGGCAAGGCTATGGGACGATGGAATCATACCGCCGGAACATACACGGAGGGTCCTTGGCATGGGCCTGCAGATGGCGTGCGGTGGGCAGAACAAGGGCGTGGAGAAGGAGAGCACTTGGGGTGTGTTTAGGATGTAAACGCAAAAAAGGCTTCGTAAGAGCACGCGTGCGATACGCGCGTCTCCCTGTTGCTTGCTTAAAAGCATGATATTCGCGACCTTGACCAAGAATCTTTGGTGTTCCATTTTTTTCTTGCCTGCTTGCCTTGCCTTGCTTGCCTTAGGGCCTGGCCTAACTTCCTGTGTACTAAGAATAGGGTCCATGACCGCCAATTTCCGGTATCCCCATATATTTGCACGGGACAGTGGCTTGGCAGAGGTCTTGGCAGAGAGCCGTCAAGACAGCTGGGCAGGCGGGTTCGGCCTCAAGCACGCCTGTAAGCTTGCTTGGAAACGCTTGTGTGAGACCGACGTTGACGTAGTTTGAAGATCAGGTTCACCAAGCAGTGTAGTAGATCGGGAGTTCACCCACGTGAGAAACGAAACGGAACAAAACAAACGGTGAAGTCAGGCCAAACAGCGCAAAGTCAGGCGCCTGCGCCACAAACATTCCCTGCAGGTGGGGCGCAGGCATGCGGAATCCGTTCCAGAGGTCCTAGAGTTTCAACGCGGATACCAGGCCCTGCTGCTGCGTTGCGCAAAATACACGCAGACAGCACCAACAGTGAGAGCGGGAATCTGTTGACTGTTTATGGCGTTCGTGGTGGTGTGGCGCCGTTCGTACCGGCGCTTGCGCTGTGAATTACAACTTGACCTGCCTTCCCTCGGCTTAGAGGGAACGCCAGCTGCATGATGATTAGATGCGGGCGGCGAATACGACCATGGGATTGCCAGGGTAGCCTATGGGGGCACAGGCCCGTGTTAATCCATCAAAGTTACCTTACCAGTGCCGCCATTCCGCTATTGCCTCGACGATCGCTCCCGCCTCTCTTTGTCACGTCCGTCATCAAACGCTGGACGCCTGTTTACCACTACCACCTGCACTCACACTCGCTTTTCTGTCGCCGTTCCTCCGCTGCCACAACCTTCTCCGGTACCTGCCTCCTACTCCCCGGTCAACCTCACCACGCTGCTTGTTTGCTTGATCTTGCTCGATCTCGCTTCCTCCCCACTTGGTCTCACGCACTTGCGGGGTAGCCATTCGTTAGCATTGTTTTAGGCGCAAAGCACATGTCGAGATGAGGTTGTTCAGCCCTGCGCGAGCGCTAGCGGCGCTCTCTCTGCTGTCGACAGATGTTGTGCGACCCTTCACCCAGGCCATCGTGCTCGACCCCAATTCAGAGAGTAGGATACCCGTTGCCGTCGCATGACTGCCATGCGCTTATAGCATATACTAACCTCACCTTACAGCTTCTATCAACGATGTCTCCTCCCAGGTTGCCAAACAGCTCGTTGCGCAATATGCGACTATCGACGATAAGGGCATCCATGTACTCGGTGGTTACCCGGGTATCCTCTACGAACCGTACTACTGGTGGCAGGCGGGTGCCATGTTCGGTACCCTCCTCGACTACTGGCACTACACTGGCGACGATCAGTACAATGAGATGGTCCGCGAGGGACTGATACACCAATTTGGTGAGCATCAGGACCTGGTATGTATCTCTATGCGCTATCGCAAGGTCTGCCGCTAAGCTTTGTAGATGCCCTCCAACCAGTCCAAGAACGAAGGAAACGATGATCAAGTTTTCTGGGCCTTCTCCATGATCGCCGCCGCCGAATACAAACTCAAAGATCCTCCCTCAGACCAGCCCGGTTGGCTCGCCATGACGCAGTCCGTCTTCAACCAATTCGTCGGCCGCTACCAGAAAGAGGTGTCCGACGGCACTTGCGGCGGTGGCATGCGCTGGCAGATCTATCCGTGGCTTAATGGGTGGACGTATAAAAACACCGCATCCAACGGAGGACTTTTCCATCTCGGCGCGCGATTGGCCATGTACACAAAGAACGACACATATGCCAAGTGGGCGGAGAAGGCATTCGACTGGATGGCGAACAGTCCTATACTGCCCGGCGACGGTCAAGTCTACGACGGAACCAGTATCAGCACGAACCCTCCATGCAGCGACGCGGATCAAACGCCCTGGACCTACAACTACGGAATCATGATTGCAGGAGCAGCATACGTAAGACAATGTTACTGCACCACAGATTCGATTACTAACCACGTCGCAGATGTACAACTACACCAACGGCGCCGACAAGTGGCGCAACGAACTCACCAAATTCATCAACAAGGTCGCCATCTTCTTCCCCGAAGACAAAGGCGGCGTCATGGTCGAAATTTGCGAAGCAAACATAGTTTGCGACGCGGACCAGGAATCCTTCAAAGCGTACCTCGCCCGCTGGCTCGGCATCACCATGCAAATGGCCCCTGAATTCACGCCCCAGATCATGCCCAAGCTACAAAAGTCCGCCGTTGCCGCTGCGCAAACGTGCGAGGGTCCGTCTGACCACGGCGGCGGCAACCACCAGTGCGGTATGAGTTGGTGGAAGCAGGGCTGGGACAACATCAAGGGTGTGGGACCGCAGATGACGGCCCTCAACGTCATCAGTGTGTTGAACGCGCAGAGGGTTCCGCCGCCGTACTCGCGCGATACCGGTGGTACTTCTGAAGGCAACCCCGGCTTAGGCTCTGGAAACGATGCCGACCGATTACCCAAGTTCCAATCCGAAATTACCACTGGGGATAAAGCGGGCGCGGCGATCCTCACTATCCTCATATTCGCTTTGTTCGTCGGTGGGTCGGTCTGGATATTGATGTAATGAGGAAGAGGTGGAGAAAGCATGAAAGATAATGGTGGTGGTGCTGTTTTGGTTAATACCCCCATTGTTTGGATGCATGCTGGAATGCTGTATGATGGGATGACTAGTGGGCTTCTTCGCATGAAGAGGGCTTTTTCATGGCGTTTTTTAATCCAGGGCGAATGGATCGGATCGGATGGGCTGGGATGAATTGGGAGATTCGTGTGTATATTTGCTATCTTGATGAAATGAAATATGAATGAGTATATTCATCGTTTACAATGGCTTCGTTCTTTGTTTTGAGTAAGTCGTGATGGAGTTGCGGACGCATCTCGTGTACGCGTGGATAGATATCTTAGAGCACTGAATGAGTCGAATGCCAGTGTACGGCAGCCATGTGCCGGTTTGAAGAAAGCAGTCAAAGATACATACGCTCTCGTGTGCAATGGACCGAGTTACGTCTCAGACTCTCGAGCTCAGACAATCTGTCTTGATAGGCTTGTACCTACGAGTCTGCGTCACTTCGTCGTTGTGTTGTCCTGATGTCTCGACTCTAAACACACCTTTGGAGTACGTGTGACTACTTCACTTTCTTTGTAGTGGTCTTAGAGGGACGCGTCCGAGATGGTGTAAGACATGGACTCAGAACCTGCCGTACGAAGATGATATATAACTATAGAGTCGTAGAAGGGGCATTCCAAGAGAGTATGGAAGTGACAGGAGTTACCAATGCCTTTGAAGAAGGAGAGTAGCGAAACGCTTGGTCAGCGAAAGGCCCACTGGGAACGTAAGACTACAACTACCCGCTGTGATTATTGTATGACTAACCAGACGCATGAGTGCAGATATACGAAACAACAATGTCCCGCGATATCTATTCCGGATGTTCACTTCACAGAGCGGTGGTGGCTCGGAGGTAACAATCAATAACGCTACGGAGGTGGTGCCGAGAGGATTCATGAATGACAGGAAAGTGCCTGATCTGTACAGAGAGGCCGAGTCAACGATTTTGGACCTGGTGCAAGCACACTATAGATGCACTCATGATGTTCTGACAGAGTTCAGCTCCTGGGCAGCGTCACTTCACGCCGTCCTTTTTCTCGCCCGCCACGCACCCCCAGAGGGCAACCCCCACATTGCCATGCTCGATCGCGACAGGCTGGACGGCGAGGTCCTGATCTTCTGGGTGCCTGATCTTTTAGGCGAAAGGAAAGGTGACATAGAGTACTTGGCGCATGGATGTATACGAGGTCGTGGGTATACTGCAGTGCCGTTCAAACGACTGGCTGACCATAGGTTGTATACTCTGTTCCCACAGCTTCGACGTTCGACGCAGGATGAGTCGAAGCCTATCGACTTCGGCCACATCTTACGGGATGAAATGTTCAGCGCAACACCAGTCGACGTGTCGGACATGGATATTAAGACAGCTAAGAGGCTGTGCCTCTTTTTTGGAGAACTCGCCGTACCGGCTGCAGTTGCGCTGCTCTGCCTTCAACCGCGGAACTCTTCTGACTATAAAGACACAGCTATCCGGGTAATCCAATCGCTCGGTCTTAAAGAGGTGTATTGCAGAAACCTCGCGACAGGGTACTGGTGCCAAACAGGAGCAGTACATACGCGTGACACCAATGGCAGTACTGCTAGACGGTATCGCGATGTAAGACAGTGGATTAAACTGCTTCGTACGATCAGCAACCATGACTTCAGCCGGACTGGAGAGAAGCGGAAGAGGCTGGAGTCGGATGCTGAGTACGATTCTGGTACTGAGTCTGATACTGATGTTGAGGAGTATAGCGATCGAGTGCGGAGGTCTTATGATTTGCGACTCCGTCCGACGACGCCGACGGCGAAGAAGGCTGAAGCGGATAAGTATGACTTGAGGTGGTTGGATGAGGAAGATGTGGGCGATGAGGGGATGGAAGAAGAGTCTGACGAAGAGACGATCGATGTAGAGGACGGGAGTGAGAGGGACATGTCTAAAGAAGACATGGAAGAACAAGACTTGAACGGAATATTGCCGGATGGGAATATGCAAGATAGAGATCTGTCAGACTCGAGCGATACTGTCATGTTGGATGAAACAATACATCTTCCAGAAGGCAACAACTATGTCTGCGTGCCGAGCTTGAAGTCAGAGAGGTTGGGCGTGACTGTGGTGATTGTGGATGACTATGGAAATGTCGTAGATCGCATGTGCTGTTCTTCCTAGCGCGAGAAGTGAGCAAGAGCAGGGCTGATGTCTCCCGCTGAACTTGTCGCTTGGGCCTTCGCCATCGTATATGGGCTTGGTTGTTTCGTACGAGTTGGCGGTGATTGCGACGGGCTGTATCTATGTAAAACAATTGAGGAAGAGAATGCACAGTACATCAAATGCGCCAGGGTGTGTTGAGAGAAAAGTCTGACGCTTCCAAGGTATGTAGATGGCCATTAGGTGCGCGGGTATCTTAGTTAGTCGGTTGATGCTGGGAGAGACTGGGCGTCACTTCCAACAGGGAGACGCGCTACTCCGGCTTCAGCTACCTCAGGGGAGCGCCGCTGCCCAGGTGCTTCCCCCAAACACCGCCACCTTCCAGGCTGCCATTGTCACTCACATTCACTCGCCACGACCCAAGTGCTGCAAGCAAACGTCAATGATCAAATTGCGCATCATGTGTTGATACAAAGAACGCCTTACCGGTGGCCTCCCGATCTGTGGCTGAGCGAAGTTGTAACGTTTTGCGATACCTAGGCGGCAGCGCACAGCCCAGCCGCAGCCCGCCCCAACACTCACCACCTTCGAAGACGTCGTTTCCTACCCATCCGCTTGGTGGACGCTTAGGCTCTGCAATGCGTCGTGTGGATACGCAACACGACGCCGGTCAATGCTATCGTGAGATGGTAATTCTTCATAAGGAATGAGTGCCGTCAAAGAACCATCAGCCCTCAACTTCACTTTCGACTTCGTAAACGCTGATCAGCTGTTTGTGGCACACGGCATACAGCATGCGAGAATTCTCTGATAACTCACATTTAGGCAGCCATGATCAGAAGGCAAGAAGGCAGAAAGATCGGGATGAAGCGAGGGGTCTTTCAGCTCGACTTGACCCTCGGCAGAGTATACCGCACTGTTTATGGGAGTATTGTGACCTCACCGCAAGACTCAACACTTTCTTTCGAGGGTTGCAATAGGCTGATTCTTCGAATCACATCAACTTTGCTACCTTCCAGTCGGTAGTTCCACGAGCGAGCGTGCCTGACCTTGGCAGGCACAGCCCCACTCGCTCCCATCGATTCTTCTAACGTCTAGACTTGGGTGACAGAGCTGCCGAACACAACCAGGATGCAGGAGACCTCTCATATGTGAGTTAAGCCACAGCCTCAGCCCCAAAAATACCGCTACGCCGCTACGACCCCACACCGCCATGTTGGAGATTTCGTCACCTGGTAATCCATCGCATCCCGCCTATCTGTCGTTGGACATGCCCGTCTTCACCCTCACTGTCAAGTGCCAGTGACGTGCTTGCGATACCATATCGCGAAGAACTATTTGTGGGAAGATGATCCTTGGGCCCAGCTTACCAGTTACTAGCCTTCAGCGAGCGTTCAAGCAAGGGTACGTGATCCTTCTACGCAATCGTACGTCCGTCGGCCGTTCCCGATACCGATATTGAGAAGTGATGCGGCCCGAGGCTTAGCGTAGGGGGCCAGTCGCTCCCGTCTATTCGATATGTGCTGCGACCTTACGAAAAGCAACCATCCGTCGCAGGCCCTGGAAGTCCCTATGTGGATGTTGTTAACATACCAATGATTTCCTCCACCACACACACCACCCTTCTCTAGTGCTTTGCATGCACAGATCAGGGGTTTTCTATGGGCGCCACCACTTGAACGCGTGGCGCCGTGGGCGGAACCTCTGTTCCTGCAGCTATGAACTATGACTCTTACTCAGGTATTTAATTCTCGGCGCATCATCCCTCCTTCAGGTTGGTCCACCGTCTTCGAGTCCTCAAGATGACCCCCAAGAAACAACCACCCATATCGCCCCAGAAACGGCGGAGACCCGAAGCTCAGCATGACAATATGGATCGTTCGCCGAAGGTTACTCGCCGCTCGACAGCTTCCGCCCGCACGAATACCATCCCTCGATCTCCGCCTCATACCCCACCACACGTTGGACGAGGACAGGTTTCCCTCCGACACTCTTCAACATCACCAACATGCAGCGCTCCGATCGATCCAGAAGCTCAGCTCAAGGAGACGCCAAGTACTCCTCAGTCCCTTGTGAAACGCGTATCCCTTGTCGACGACCCTACGATTGAACGCGAGATCACCCATCCGACCCCGCCTATCGTCCTTTCCAAACACGCATGGGCGCCACGCCATGCTGTCAAAATCAACAGACACAGCTTCAACACAACCACAAACAGCCCATCTGCCTCATCGAAAGGTACCAGATGGGTGGAAGTGTTGGGTCAAGTGAGCAGGATGTATCGTTACAAACGTATCCCTGACGACCAAGTTCGTCTTCTACTCGTCAAGCCGGGCACCTTCGATGAGCAAATCAACGCTTCTTTACTGGTCGTTAGCGATGATCACCTCGGAAGCGAAGATTACCCGTACTCGGCCCTATCCTACAACTGGGGCAATAGCGCAGACGACAGTACTATTGTCATCCAGGATGATCCAGCCTCGTCTCCCGTGAAGTCCATCAGGAAAGCAGTAGATGTACTCCGAGCGGCCGTGCAAGACAAGTTGATCAAGGTCAAACCAAACCTCTACGAAGCTCTCAGACATCTGCGAAAAGAGAACGAGACTATCGCGCTTTGGGTGGACGCATTGTGCATCAATCAATCTGACACCAAAGAAAAGGAAGAGCAAGTACTAAAGATGGCGCACATTTACCGTAAAGCCTACAATGTGAATGTATGGCTTGGCTCCGACAATCCTGATGATCTTGTCTCCAACAGGGCTATGGCTTTTATCCCCAAGGTCATCGATCCGGAGAATCACTTAGCTCTTCTCACTGGCGATGCTTATATTGAAGATTGGGCAAGCTTGTACGAGCTTCTCAAGTGGAGCTGGTAAGTGCATGGTCGTTCAACATGGCGTTTCTCCGCTCATCTCCCATAGGTTCTCAAGGCGCTGGGTCATACAAGAGCTGGCATTTGCACAATCCGCTTCAGTTCACTGTGGCAAGCATGTGCAGGACTGGAGCGACTTCCAAACTGCCATCGCTATCTTCCACCGACACTTCGATGGTCTGAAAGCCCGGCTCATGATGTATTACGAGTCCTCTCAAGCCAAGCGCAGTCACTTGAACGATGACTCAACCCTAGAGATTGAGCACCTCGGTGCCAAGCTGTTGGTGGATATGACATCCACATTGTTTCGCAAGCGACCCGACGGCACCCTGGAATCTACCAAAGGATTGGAGAGCTTGGTATGCTCCTTGTCCGGCTTCGACACTTCCGATCCACGCGATACAATCAATGCCTTTCGAAGTATATCCAAAGAGGTGACTAGATATAAACCGCGTGCCGCAGGACAGCATAGGCCACCGCCTGTTCCAAACTACAGTAACGATCTCTTTGAGATATATCGCGACTTTGTTAAATGGGTTGTCGAGACCTCGGGATCCATTGACATAATCTGTCGCCACTGGGCATTAAAAGAACGCCATGAACTAACTCCAACAACCCCTCGACTGGTTCAACTACCTTCCTGGATCCTTTTCGTGGAAGACTCTGCCTGGGGAAAGGGCGAAGATCTGTTTCGCGGTCGAAAGGCTGGCGACAGCTTTGTCGGGTTACCTGGTAGTAACAACTACAACGCTTGCGGTAGGCAGGGCAAGCAAGCCCGTGTCAAGTTCCCCCGGAGTCCTGTCCATCGTGCCTCGGCCCCACCTTCCCAAGTCATACACGATATGTCGATGTCCGTGAGAGGTGTCATGATAGGAACAGTCTCCTTCCGCACAGACCCGTTTCCCGATGGTGTTATCACCAAAGATTGTTTGGAAGGTCTGGGATGGGTCTTCGACAAGGACGCCATAGAAATCACCGAGGTTCCAGCCAAGCTATGGCAAACTCTGGTGGCAGACCGCGATCCGCAGGGCAACCCACCCCCTCATTGGTACAAGAAAGCGTGTCAACATTGCCTTACCTATCAGACGAATAATGGACACATCAACATCAACACCGTTCTACGACGGAACCTTCGAGGCGGCCCCAATGACATCGTGTATGACTACCTTTGTCGCGTCCGTGCTGTCACCTGGAACCGATCCTTCCTCAGAGGCAACCCCATCTGTAGTGCCACCACCGATACTTGCGACTTCGAGCATGACGAACTCGTTGGCTTTGGGCCACCTAGGACTGAGAAGGGAGATGTGATTGCTATTCTGTATGGCTGCAGCGTCCCTGTCATCCTCCGACCAACTCAAAATGGCTCTGGTGAGCATCTTGGGTACCTATTCGTCGGCGAAGCTTACATCTACGGTAAAATGGACGACGAAGCTTTTGGTGTCCACTGCGAAGAAAAGAACTTCAAGCTGCTCTAATGCGAGTGGCAGTCATGAGAATACGTCCCCTCTCGACCTCACTTCCCCTTCTCTCGATAAGCACTCGAGCCCGGCGCCGGCTGCTGGATTCATCCGCCTTCCTTCTTTTCTCGCTCATTTTCACTTCGTACCTGCGCTTGGCTAGTACCCCCTCCTCTTCTATTCACGATACCCTCACGCTACGACGTCACGACATTATATACCCCGCCCGAGTCTGACCGCTCGGCCCTCTTCTTCCTACCGATACCCTAACCTTTACTATGATATCTTGTACACTGCCTGTACGGTCCGATACGGTTCCATACGGGACAAAATAGAGCATCTTTCGGATTTCCTTTCTTGTATAGTCCATAATATACTACCATTGTACCATTATCCGCTTTTGATGTCAAACAAATTCCGGGTCTCTTTACTCATATTCAGACAAATAGCTTTTGTGAAGCTTCCTAGCTATCGACTGTCCCAGTCTTGAGGCCATGTCTAGATCGAGCGCATTGCATACCGGCGCATCTACCCTTGTTCGTCCCCGCGACGCTCACTCAGTAGTAGTCGATCATCTCGGTCGGCCGGCCCAGGATAAAGCACTTCATGCTCTTGATATCCCGCTTCGTCCAACCTGAAAGTGTCGATTTGCCGCCTTCGCCCCAGCGTACGGCCATGTCGGTATCGCCGAAGAGAGCCTCGCAGCGCGGAGTTCTACAATTAGCCTTTGTGAGCTTGTGGTCAGACCATAGAGAAGGTAGCAAGGAATGAGCATACCGATACAGTTGACAGCAGCCCATGTGGGTCACGGCGCGAACTGAGCTTATCTCTCTAGAGCTGAAGCACATGTGTTAGCACAAGCTTCACACCTGAAGACAACATAATCTATGCGTACTAATCGCTGCTGATGTCGCGACACTCGTCCACCATAACGTCGAAGTAACGGCAAGCTCCTTTGAAGTTGGCCACGTTACAGACTTGGATCTGGAGGAAAAGCTGTCAGTACCTGACCCTTGTAATCCGGACGGAAGCGACGTACGGTCATGTGCTTCCACAAATTGTCGGACGCTTCGGTTAGCAAGGGAGCGGCATCGTGGATGCAAAGAACGAGTAGTACGAGTACGCTGAGCATCATGGCAGTAGCGGGAATGCGCATGGTGGGTGGTGTCTCGGATCTTGTGCTTGAGGAAGTCTACACTGAGTGAGGTGGATAAGTGTCAAATGAAAATTGGCAGGAGCGGAAGGCAACAAGACTGCGGCGTTTAAACAGCCGTGTCGTGCTTTCCTTCCGACATGACTCGCTTCGCCCATACCGACTTCCCTAGACGACCCCCCGCAGTTTCCCTAAACGACCCTCCGCAGTTTCCTTAAACAACCCTCCGCAGTTTCCCCGCAAGCAATGCGTAGCGCTCATTCGGTGTGGGGTAGCCACTAATCTAGTAGTATACCTGGCCCTCTTCCGGTTCGGTCACGCTCCCTGCAGAGAGCGAACAATGTCCGAATCCTTCAACTACCTCATTTCTCGTGACGCCCCATTGAAGCTTGGCCAAGTGCGCATCGAATTCCCCAGGCGGTGGATGGCAAGCAGCGCTTATCGCCAAGCTACAAGACAGCACGATAGGTACTCTTGTTTGTCGTTTCCTGAGTCCAACCACGCCTATAATGCCGAGCAATACGAAAAGAACGGATAGTAGAACTATAAGGCTCAGAGCTGAGAATCCGCATGCTGCTGTCGAACTCAGGGTAGTGACAGTCCACGTATCTATCCGGACCAGGAAGAACGCCTGAGACATCAACCAGTGGAGTGTTCCACTGATTGCAAGCAGGGGAAGGCTCCATCTGTATGGTAGTTCTAGGAAGTAAGTACTTCTTTGATAATCATACGGCTGGGTGACTCTGAGGCCTTTCCTGGATGTCGCCAGATTGTTCCACTCTTCAGCCCCAGCCATTGAGGTGCAAAACTGGTTGATCGTGAAGTAGCAGGATGACAAAAGTAGCTGCGGGATATTGGCCAGCCAAGCACTCCATAGTGTAGCTACAACCGATGTGCTTCCAGAAGAGAATATGTAAGAGTTAGATGAAGTTCCCCATTGCATGTTTGAGCTCAGGCTCCATGCAAGGACAATCGCGAAGACGAATATGAAGAATCCGATCCTAGATACTCAGTCAAGATTCAGGACTCATTGGGGGCTCACTTACGATAATGTGTAGATGAACTGGACGCGATCATGGAAAGGAGAAAAGTAAGATCGTGAACGTGGAAGCCAGACGTCTCGCAGCCGAAGATTAAGCTCCTTTCTATCGGTTTCGTCGTATTTGCTTTTCTTCAGTGAATGGCCCAGACTTGATGACACAGTCTCTCGACTAAGGAGACAGCGACTCATCGTGTAAGGGTCTTCTTGCTTCAAGAACGAGCTTGCGGCATCTCCTAAGGTGACGAGGTACTCCGATCGATCTGTGAGGAGAACCGTGAGCAGAATGATGAGCTTGACCAAGTTGAAAGTGACCACCACAGCAAGAAAGTAGAGGCTGACTTGCACTGTACTGGGCGAGTCCAGCATCTTGAATGATGAGGCCTTCGCTACGTGTAGATAGGCTCCGGTCAGGCGATTATAGCCGTGAGCAAGGCTGTTGTAGTTTAGCCACTCCGGTGAATCTACAATAATCTTCTTTGGTGTCAAGCTATCTGCACCAGTCGAGGTTTCCACGTCCGCGGCGTTAAATTGCGAAAGGTTCAAGGCTGGTGGAGGCGACCTGAGTCTGATCGACACCCTATCGATTGCGAGATACAAGTCACCATAAATGGAGATGTGTTCTTTAGAGTATGGCTCGTCCCATCGATCAGCGGGCAAATTCCAGTACGCGCCATGGGTCCAGGTGTCGTTGTCAGTAGCATCAGCGATTTCTTTCCATGCATCCGATGACACGTCCAGTGTTGCAAAGGAGTGACCTTTCCGGGACGTGATCACTTTGAAGACCGAGGCGTTATAGCTAGAATTGATGAGCCTTTGTAGTCCGGGAGTTCATCTAACAACGTACAATAAATGCAATGGTGTCGAGGACAATACTAAGATCAACCAAAGGGTCGCGCGGCTGCGTGAGATAGCCCTCAAATTCCGAGGACTTAGTCGCCCAATATCGAGCCACTGTCCTTTCGCATGCGCGGCGTCCACATCTTTCCGTGTCGGGGAGCTCAGGACTTGCATAGTGTAGTTTGACGATGATAGCAACGCGGTGCTGAGTACGTTAATGAGAACGTGCAAAGCAGAGTCCCATCGTGCGATGCGCGTCTCGTCGCCTTCGAGGATTGAAGATATGCCTTCGTGGTCATAACCGGATTTGCTGTTTGCTCCGATTGCGATAAGAGCAATGTTGCAACAAAGGACAAGGAACGACATGCAACAACCAAACAGCACTCCCATACGCCACCCATGGAAGCGGCTTCTTCTGAGTCGCGAATCCCAGGCTTGTGATACCTTGCTGATTGGGCGTGGAAGTTTCGGATGAGTCCAGCGGCGTGATGCAGTTGAGTTTCCAGCGCTGATCTGAGCTTGCGAATTCTGATCAAGCTGAGTGGGGATGTCGCTTTGTGATGAGGCCTCGTCGGCGCGCTGCGATAAGCTCATGAGGGGAGTAGCATCGCTGCATATCCCATTGTCTGGACGTGGGGGCTGAAGAAGGGAAGATTGATAGGGTCGCGCATAGACATTAGCCATCGATACTAGAATGCTTCTTGCCAACGAGGCCGTTTGAGGGAAAGGGCAGGATTCATAAAGAAGCTGTTTTGGGGGCCAAGTATCCTTCCGGCCTCGCAAGCAAGACCGAAAGCATAATCAAGGCAACAGCCTTGAGAACGGCCCCGGTGTGGCTAAGACGCCATGTTGAATCCTCCCATTGGCAGCCATGGAGTTGTGCGACGACTGAGCCGTGTGCGGCTGAGTTCTTGCAGATATGCATTTCCAGAATAGGTAGACGCTGCTGAGCGTGTAGGACCCAACGAGGCTGTTCATTGCAGATCGCGCACTGTGACAACTGGACGTTGGACGCTATTGGCATGGGTTGGCAGGCGCACTGCATCGCAAGAGGCTACAGATGTTGCGATTATCCGCTACCCATGTATTCGACTCTTCGCAGTCAGAACGGGTAGAGGGTCCGGCTGCTGCAAGTAAGACGTCCCTCTCTTGATGGAAGGAGTCGCTGACCGGTTCTCTAGCATTCGTCAAGATGAAACTGTGCAACTTAGGTGACCCGATGTCAATGCCGGCTTCATTGTGTTTTAAACCGAGAATACCGAGCCAGTCAGATCTTGGACTTTAGATGTTGATGGAAGAATCTGATCGACAATGATCATGTCTTGGTACAGGAAGATAAGACTTCAACAACACGAGCAGGCTGTACGGTATCGAATGTGATTGTTGGAGCTGGCAGTCTAGAGTTAACTCGAAGCTTCGATGTCGGGGTTGCGTGACGAGTGCACGTGAAACGAAGTTCCGCGGCAGGAGTGACCTCATAATGTCAGCACAGCCCTAGTGCATCTCACGCACCTTCATCCTTCCACCTACACCAACGCGCACCTCAACCTCCGCTTTCGCATCGCACGCAGTCAACCTCTGCGACAACTCCATCACGATGGGCGCACCCAAATACCAGAACGTGCCTCAGCGCGACTCGCTCGACGAGGCGGCGCCCGCGCCGTCATATTCGCAGGCGCCACCCAGCTACCAGGCGGCCAACGACCCCCAAGAAGCCCTCCTCAGCGGCGTTCCCCGCGGCGAAAACGACAACCTGCCCGATGACTTCAAGTTTGGCGGTGTTGTGGCAGAGGCGACACTGGACATCCGGATGGCTTTCATCCGCAAGGTCTACGCCATCTTGTAAGTACCTTGCCTTCATGCCTCAAAGGCGAACGTCGCGCATACTGACTCTCTGCAGGACCGTCCAACTCCTCGCAACCGCCGCTGTCAGCGCCCTCTCGATGATGTCGGAATCATACAAGAACTTCATCCAGCAAACGCCGG